CTTCCGTTTAGCTAAGTAAGTGTGAATTGTATTCAATAATGCAATTCCTTGTTAAACCAAGCGATACTATCGCGTCTACGTGGCACAAGATGTGTAGATGACAAAGCAATTTCGGGATGTAGATATCTAGGTGTCAATTTCAAGGGAACGTGAATTGCTATCGGTGACACTTCTACCACGCGTCAAAGTAAACAGGTGTTTATAACTAATATTATGGAAGTTGATCCGACGTACACGGTATTTCAAGACGAAAGAATAACGGACCAGTGAGAACACAAACGTTAAAATAATACCTTTATTAATATATTGGGTCGATAATTATTTGGAGGAGAAAGTGACCAATGGCCTGTTCGTTTACGCGAAACAAACGGTATGTCCGTTTTTAGATGTAACATGTTTCGGTATAAATCCTGGCAGACCTGTACAATTTATGGAGGCATTGCAAGGCTTGGTCAGGGCTCAAGTAGCATCAGATTACTGTGTCCGACCTTATTCCATAAACGAACAACTCTGGTCCGTCCGTTCGGACAGCCCAACCGTTTGGACAGCGATGTACGAAAGCGGCCACGATGTCTATGGACGTAATATATATAAAGGCTAGTAGAAAATGGTTAACATCATACATCATAATATTTAAAAAACAATCGGCGATAGTAACCGAGCCCTTTTGGAATCCATACACTGTCGAACTCTTGTTTACATAACGTGAGGAAGTAAAGCGATTTTAATTTAAAGAAATAGGACCAGAGGACTGGGTTTGCTCACCACGATATTTAACATGGTAAAGTAATTTTGGGTTTCGCCTCTCAGTTCCAATGACACAACAATTCTCATTTTACATCATTTAATTTCCTGGTCCTAAGGATGCCTCATTACAAATTTGGTACAAGCAATTGGTCAAACGTACCAGGGCCCCCACCTCTCCAGCAACAGGGGTGATACTAACTACAGCACACGGAATGGGATCACCTCGCCCAAGTGCCGTTTAGGAACAGTAGGATTTTGAAGCAAAATTCCTAAAATTCAAATTATACATTCCACCCATCTCGTTTGGTTGGAGGAGGAGTACACCCTCCGTCCATACAACATTGAGTCCCTTGGCCATCCGTCCATACAACATTGAGTCCCTTGGCCCAATGATGCTCTAGATAAAGTTTTCTTAAAATCCCATCATTTCTAGGGTTAAGTTTTATCTGTTTCCACTAATAGCTGTTGCACTTGAAATTGACGGTCGGACAGATAGACAACGGATATGCTCTCGTGACCATTTGGCCCTTGTTTGCTAAACAAGTTGTACTAACTAAGTAAAAATATTCTTTGGAGTATGACTCGTGAATTTTTTACCGTTGATTTTTCGTTTTTATGTCATCTTGACTTTTCGTGGCACGCTACAGATATAAAATATTATGAAATTGTACTACATGTATATATACACGAAGACTATTTGCTATTATACTTTTTTTTTATCCTACAAACCATCGGCGCCACTGAAATCCCCAGTTCAAATAAGACATAGAATCGGCGCCGATCTTCAGTTAATCAAACTAAATTCCCGTAATATTTCACAGGATAGTTTACCAAGTTGTGCTTGTTTTAACAAACCCGAATTTTGAACTTAAACTATAAACGAAAACCTCACACTTGGAAACAGTGACGAAGTAATCTTTTGCATGTTTGTATACCGGCTTTCATAAAGAGACTACATGTAAATAGAAAACCGTCCATGAAGAAAACCACCTACGGGTAGTCCTATTAATTGAGGTGGTACACATATTTGGAAATATCGTAATTAACAGATAAGACTTATATCAGGGCAATGGAAATGATTTTATACACCGATATCCATATAAGAGTAAAGGTCACGTAACCGTACGTATCGTAAACACGCCGATACGGCTAATTAGGTAGAGTTTAACACGGCCCCACAGGGTAAATTAAGTGAATACGTACCAAAAACGAAAAGAGATTGTCTACTTAGAATGGGTAGTTAAACGTAACATTTACCGATTTATTTTGTTTGTGGGCCGGGTGAGTTATCCTTTACCAGCAGGTGATCAATCACATTATTTGTTTAAATGCAATGCTATAATTCTGTAGCAGTATATATATTTACGTTTTGTATTTATAACCAATCTGTATTCACTTTGCTATGTTATTGAACTGTATTAAGATGTTGATATCTTGTAACACACTTTGTGTGTCATGAGTGAAATAAATCAATCTTGAAATCAGAATAATATTTCATGGGCACATTCGCTTTAACAAAATCAGTTCAGTTTTGAAATGAAACTGTAAAACGATAAATGAAATAACATCCAGAAATGTACTTTTGTAATGTATGATAGTTTCATACAGCACCAGAAATATGTCGACCATATGAAATCCTTACTCCTCAGCTTTGTCTTTCCACGTCGACTCTATAAAGAGGCGTGACCGATCCGACATAAGATCAGTATAAAGTACACGAAAAACGAAACTAGACACCGCCTAGAAAACATTATCACTTGAGAGGTTTCACTGTGTAGACAATGGTCGAGATAAGACTTTGTCCTTCATCTTTTGTGTGTTGCCAAGTTTATCTTCAATAACAATATCATACATCAAGTCTGGCCTGAATCAGGTTGATGGGAACTTCACAGTCTGTTGATGTTTACAAACACTTCAAGGACAATAAAGTTAAGGTGTAAACATGAAGATTTTAAGTCATGCATGTGTATCAACACGTCTAATTTTGTTCTTGCCTAGTATTCACATCCACACAAGTAGTTTTAATACACAGAGGCTCAGAGGGCCAGTATCTCTCACCTGGATAAGCAGTCTGATACAAAATTCTCATAAAATAAAAAGCTGCAAATATTTCGCAATTTTGGCTCTCAGCATCCAGAGGGGCAAGACCCTTCATGTATATACATTTTGATTCCCTGGTCCATAGGATGAGTTGATGCAAATTTGGTTGAAATATGATAAATCGTTCAGGAGAAGTAGGCATTCAACACCTAAATTACACTGTTTAGTGCCTAGCCCCACTCCAGGAAAGCTACATTCTTTCTTTATACAACCATTGATTCCCAGGCCTAATGGACCAAAGATGCTTCATAGAAATATGTTTCCTGGTCTCCAGGTGCAAGGCTGTGCCCCAGGGCCAAACCGAGTGGCATATGTGTATTATTTGGTAAGGATCATATAATTCCCATGCTATGACAAGGGACTAAGGCCCCTGGGGTGGGGACAGACCCACAGAAGGAGGTAGGCAGATCCTGATAGCAAGGATGTATTAGACTCACAATGTCCAATATGTGTACATATGGTTAAAGAGTGAGGATTTCAAGTTTTTTTGTTCCAGTTAGGACCTTTTATCTGGGATGGGGACAGATCCCTGGACAAATTCTGATATCATGAATGTGTAACAATACTGAGCATGGGTACTTAGGGATATAGGGTAAAATTGAACCATTTGTAAGTTATTACCCTATTTGGATCCTCCCTTCTGCCCCCAGGGGGCCACAATCTCCATTTATACAATGATGAGTCCAAATAACCAAAGGAACAATGCGTCCAGATAGATAGTGAAGGATTTTAAGATAAACATCAGTTTCCCTTATAAATTATATTTATTGGGCACCGCTCTTTTCTTTCCTTACTTGGTCCCATCCCTCGGCCACAACTGGGGCAACACCCTCTGTTTATATAAAATAGAGTTCCCATGGCCAACTGATGCTACAGAGGAACTTGGGACAAACACTATTAATACCTACAGAGGAGGGATTTTAGTTCCCAGTCCCCCGTCCCCAAGGGGAGGGACTACACCCTTTGTTTATACAAAATCAAGTCCCCATGGCCAAAGAATACTACATAGCAAATTAGGACGAAATCCCTTTATTCCTGCAGAATTAGAATTTTTAGTTTCAGACCTATATTTGGTCCCACCACTCCTCTGCCACCTTGGGTATGACACCCATCATTTATACAAATTTAAATTCCTTGTCCCAATAATGCTCCAGACCAAATTTAATCAAAATCAGCCGATATCGACAAGTGGCATTCTTAACGAAAAGCTGAAGGACAGATGGACAGACAAAGACGCCATGGCATAATTAAGTCTGTATGACACATGTACATGTACCTTAGCATTCTGATACAAAGTGTGAAATGATTGGGTTGAATCAATGGAAATAAGAAATTCCCTAAACCTCTCCTCCATTTGACCTCTAACCCCGAGAGAAATTTGTCTTCTGCACCCCTACCCCAATGAGAAATACCTCGAGTTAGATACACAATGTAGCCTGTCTTTTCTTACAGTCATCATTGTGTTTGATAAATGTCTGCCAATCTGTTCTAACCAACCCATATATCTCTGTATACACATTTTCCTAAAAGTACTTGATATTTATCATTAGTCACGTGGGGGTCAAGATTCAAGATTTGTAATAACTATGTGTTACACACATCAAGTGTAGGATAAGTGGTCAATTAGGGAAAATTATAATACGGTAAAAAAGGGTTTACACATGTACAACACAGATATATCATACACAACAATCCCGCATCATCAATCATTTCATACACATAAGTCAACATCTTCAATATGTGATTTTCAGTACACCCCCTGCTCCCTTGCACACTCATAGTTTTTGCTTTTTAAAAGGCCATTTTCAACTAAAGTATAAGTTGTAATTTCTCAATATAAATTGAATGAACAAAATATTACTGCAATTTGAGGAAAATCATTGCTGAAATGTGCAGATTTTTTATTTGTTTTGAAATAATACCCGTGCACTTGTCCAGAAATTGAAAAAAAATGTCTGACAACGGTCCTTACATATCAGTAAAGTTAAAATACACACTTTGTCTGTATTCTCACGTCACAAAGAAACTAAGACTGAGAATACAGACTCTAGTACAGTTTAATAACAAGCTCAATTCTGTTCTGAAAATTAGCATAAAATCCCTATAATTTTTTGATTTCATGTTATCACTCAAATTAACTAAGACAAGTCTATTTTAATGTATTTCAATATCATTAGACTCCCAGTTAATGATATTATTTTATTTGAAAAATACTGCATCTCTGCTGTTAAGATGACTAAACTTGGAAAAACTCTACACTCTGAGAGTATTGTCAACTTCATTATCTCTTAAATAATCAACATTCACTTCAAAAGGAATAGAAAGTTCGTACCAAATATGGTAATTAAAATTATCAAATGGAAACTTCCAAACTTTTTATACAGAAATATTTGTGCATTTTTTCAAATCTTTTTATAGACAAAGATTCTGGGTCCAAAGTCAAAAGTAATATATTGAAAACTTGTATGCATAAGGGACCACCACACTTTATGAATCATCATTACTAGGGAGGGTAACACATTCCCAGCGTCAATTTCAGGATGCAACTTAGTCTCTCATTACAATTTCTGCTTGACTGACAGGAACCTTATTGTCAGCACCTGTAACAGCGGACTGTTCCAGTGAAATGGTGCCTGCATAAACACATGTCAAATTTCAGATCCTGTTTTCCTGGTATAGGTGAAGACATTCATCAATTACATCCATGCTATTTTTAAGGTGTACATACTTAAGTTGATAAAAATGTTGTGTTTCCAGTTCTTTTTTCCTTGTAAACTTGTATAAAACTTAACATAATCCAAGGATAAGTTTAAAAGTTTACACAATTTACGAGAAGTTTACGAGAATTTCTCCCCACCTGGTTCTATGGAATTTTCAGTTCTCAACACCTGTATGATGACATATGTTTATCATCTGATCAGTTTAGGTTTTTTCTCTGGTGGAGGTTTAATTACATTAGCTGGTTTCTCGTCAGGTTTCTCTTGCTTGATCTCCTGTTTAACTGTCACTGTTTCAGGTTTAGGGACTTCCTCTGTAAAAATATAATGCATAAAATTTAAATTTCATTGTCTTAACATCGCCCGACATAAAATCAACTGTGATACTTGTTATGTGTAAGTTTTTTTTAAAGATACTGAAATCAATTTATATATTTGCTGTTTTCAAGATACTAGTAAAGTAAAACCTGTGTAATCTGACACTTGAGTATTACGACATTTCGTCTATCCCAACATAAGACTATATTGCATTTCTAATGGAGAATCTAAATCAGATCTGTATTTTCCAATACTCTGTCTCATCTGGCCATTATGTTGTATCAAACAGGTTGTCAGATTAGACAGGTTATTCCGACCATTACATTGTGTCTCACATGATGTCAGGTTAGAGAGGTTAATCTGGCCAATATGTTGTATCCAACAGGTTGTCAGATTAGACAGGTTTCACCTCTTCTGAATACAAACACATTCAAACTGCACAGAAATGATAAAACCCTAGGGATCTTGGTGCTCTCATTGCAAGATCTACAGTAGTTCTTTGTATGTTTGATCTGTTCTATTGCCATGTCAGCAGTACATTTGTACTATGGGGTAACTTATGATTAAAACTTTATACTGCTGTGATTGACATGGTCCTTTCAAAGTGAGGCTGTGGTTTGTTCTATATACTCGAGTAGTAATGACAGATATGAGTAAAAATAAAACAGGACATACTTCTGGTTTTTGACAAACATATTTTTCTTCTGATCAAGCAGCTGTAAGCTAATTAATATGAAATAAATAAAACCAGGATGCAGAAGAAGCCTGAAATTGGAGAAAGATCTGTACTTCGCTTACTGAGAAATAGAAATAACAACCTTCAATGCTCAAATTCAAGATGTCTGCCTGGTTACCTATTTTGTTTGATCAAGTTGAAAATGGATTATGTACCACTAAGAACGAAGTGGAGCCTAGACAGGGCTCAAAGGAAGCTTCTTCAAGTGCTTTCTGATACTGATACTGATAACAAACTTTAATGACAAGATCCAAGATGGCTGCCTGGCTGACATCTTGTGTTCTTTTAGCCACTATCAAGATAAAACACAAAGGACCAAGAAGAACCAACAGATTTTGAGACAGATCCGTGCACAACATTCCAAGAAAAAGAGACAACAAACTTTAACTTGCAGAAGCCGAAGTGGCCATCTTGGTCTTCCAGTCAGTCTCAAAATTAATTAATTTAACCCGCAAAACTATGGATCAAAACTATTCTTTCTTGTACATGTGTAGCACTGTAGAGAAGAAACAGGAGCAGTGGTTTGGAAGGGTACTCTACAAATATCAATTCCTATTGTGCAGGAGATGATCCTTCTATTGTATCTCAGATAGCTAGTAGTGGGCTGGGAGTAACAACCAAGATCTTGAACTCTGGACATGATACATCCATTGCATCCTATATTTAGAACTGAATGTTAGCAAGAAGTACATGGTAAAAAAGAAATGTTTTATTCTAAATTGTAAGTCAAGCGATGAGTATGCATATGTTTTGTGAGAGTTGCGCATGCATGTACATGAATTAGATTATTTCGAAGGTGTAAAATTAAGAAATTGCATTATCGAGGTCAAATGTAGAAAATGTACTACGTGGTTCATAAACACTTGACAAATGTAGATAAAAACAAGAGGCCCAGAGGGCCTGTATCGCTCACCTGGATATCAAAGCAATCATGGCAAAATATTCTCCAAATAAGATCCAAAGGAATGGGCCAGACCCCAAGGACAATCCTTGTATCCTATCTGTATTAGATTTTTCATGCCCAGAAATGTTATGTATGGTTATGGGGTGGGGATCTCAACTGTTTCCAAGGTGTAACTCAGAAACTAGGTCGCTAGGTTTGTGGCCAGACCCCAGGATCATTTATAATACATTGTATCATGACTGCATTCGTCTCTTTATGCCCAGCATTTGTATATTCAGTTTTGGAGTGGGGATCTCAACCATTTCAAAGTCATGACCCAGGGACTATGTCTCCAAGGGTGGGGCCTGACCTCTGTGCAATCCTGGAAGCATATGTGCATTCTTCTCTTCATTTTCAGCAATTGTATATATGGTTAAAGGGTGGGGATCTTAACCATTTCCAAGCAATAAACTATATTTGCCCCTCCCCTTTATCCAAGGGGGTCAGCCCCACTACTTGTACAATTTGAATCCCTGCCTCCAATGAAAGCTTCCAACAAAATATGATTGATATCTAGTGCATAGTTCTACAGAAGAAGTCTTTTATGGCAATATAGCCAAATTACCCTTTTTGACCACGCCCCTCAGCCCCTTTGGGGTCAGCCAAGCCATTTGTATAATTTTGAATCCCCACCTCTCATGAATGCTTCTGAAAAAATTTGATTGATATCCAGCACATAGTTCTACAAAAGAAGTCGCTTAAAGCAATTTAGCCAAATTGCCCCCTTTTGGTCCCACCCATCAGCCCCACCACTTGTACAATTTTTAATCCCTGCATTCCATGATTGCTTTTGATCAAATATGATTGATATCCAGTGCATTGTTCTACAGAAGTCGTTTGCCCCCTTTTGGCCCCGCCCCTCAGCTCCCTGGGGGGTCATCACCACCATTTGTAAAATTTGAATCACCACCACCTAGGGATGCTTCCAGTCTAATATGGTTGATATCCATCTCATAGTTCCAGAGAAGTTGTCGCTTAAAGCAATATAGCCAAATTTCCCCTTTTTGGCCCCACCCCTCAGCCCCCTGGGGGGTCAGCCCCTCGATTTGTACAATTTTGAATCCCCACCACCTAGGGATGCTGCAAGGCAAATATGGTTGATATCCATCACTCAGTTTCATAGAAGAAGTCGCTTAAAGCAATATAGCCAAATTGCCCCCTTTTGGCCCCGCCCCTCAGCCCCCTGGGGGCTCAGCCCCACCATTTGTACAATTTTGAATCACCACCACCTAGGGATGCTTCCAGTCCAATATGGTTGATATCCATTTCATAGTTCCAGAGAAGAAACCGCTTAATGCAATATAGCCAAATTACCTCCCTTTTGGCCCCGCCCCTCAGCCCCCTGGGGGGTCATTCACACAATTTGTACAATTTTTAATCCCTGCCTCCCATGAATGTTTTTTTATCAAATATGATTGATATCCAGTGCATAATTCTACAGAAGAAGTTGTTTATAGCAATATAGCCAAATTGCCCCCTTTTGGCCCCGTCCCTCAGCCCCCTGGGAGGTCAGCCCCACCATTTGTACAATTTTGAATCCCCACCACCTAGGGCTGCTTCCAGTCCAATATGGTTGATATCCATCTCATAGTTCCAGAGAAGAAGTCGCTTAAAGCAATATAGCCTAATTGCCCTGGCCCCTCAGCCCCCTTGGGGGTCAGCCTAACTATTTTTACAATTTTGAATCCCCACCACCTAGGGATGCTTCCAGTCCAATATGGTTGATATCCATCACTCAGTTCCAGAGAAGAAGTCGCTTAAAGCTATATAGCCTAATTGCCCTCGCCCCTCAGCCCCCTGGGGGGTCAGCCAGACTATTTTTAAAATTTTGAATCCCCACCACCTAGGGATGCTGCCAGTCAAATATGGTTGATATCCATCACTTAGTTCCAGAGAAGAAGTCGCTTAAAGCTATATAGCCTAATCACCCCTTTTTGGCCACGCCCCTCAGCCCCCTGGGGGGTCAGCCCCACCATTTGTACAATTTTGAATCCCCACCACATAGGAATGCTTCCAGTCAAATATGGTTGATATCCATCACTCAGTTCCAGAGAAGAAGTCGCTTAAAGCTATATAGCCTAATCACCCCTTTTTGGCCACGCCCCTCAGCCCCCTGGGGGGTCAGCCCAACTATTTGTACAATTTTAAATCCCCACCACCTAGGGATGCTGTCAGTCAAATATGGTTGATATTCATCACTTAGTTCCAGAGAATTAGTCGCTTAAAGCTATATAGCCTAATTGCCCCTTTTTGGCCCGCCCCTCAGCCCCCTGGAGGGTTAGCCCAACTATTTGTACAATTTTGAATCCCCACTACCTAGGGATGCTTCCAGTCAAATTTAGTTAAATTCTAATCAGTGGTTAAGAATAAGAAATCATTTAAAGCAATTGTTGACGTACAGACAACAGACGACGGATGGACGGACAGACAGACGACGGACGCCACGGTATGGCATAAGCCCACCTTGGTCCTTTGGACCAGGTGAGCTAACTAGAAAAACTTGTTTCTTTATTACATCTGTGTATATAAATAAAGACAGTTATATATATATATAGAACACCAGTATATATAAAGAACACCAGTATATATAGAACACCTATATATATACAGAACACCTGTATATATAGAACACCTGTATATATAGAAAATCTTTATATATGTAGAACATCTGTATATATAGAACACCAGTATATAAAAAGAACACTTGTATATATAGAACACCTAATGTTGTATATAGGTGTTCTATATATACAGGTGTTCTGTATATATATAGGTGTTCTATATATACAGGTGTTCTATAGAACACCTATATATATATATATAGAACACCTATATATATAGAACATCTGTATATATGTAGAACACCTGTATATATAGAACACCTGTATATATAGAACACCTGTATATATAGAGAACACATATACATGTATATATATATAGAACACCTATATATATATATAACACATGTATATATATAGAACACCTGTATATATAGAACAGAACACCTGTATATAAAGAACAGAACACCTGTATATAAAGAACACCTGTATATATATAGAACACCTGTATATATAGAACACCAGTATATAAAAAGAACACTTGTATATATATAGAACACTTGTATATATAGAACACCTGTATATATAGAAAATCTTTATATATAGAACATCTGTATATATAGAACACCAGTATATAAAAAGAACACTTGTATATATAGAAAATCTTTATATATAGAACATCTGTATATATAGAACACCTGTATATATATAGAACACCTGTATATATAGAAAATCTTTATATATAGAACATCTGTATAT